CTGGGCCGCACCAGTGCGCCCGGGCGCACTGCTTGAGAACCACTGGACTAGAGGGAAGACAACTAATCAACACCACGAACCTGTGTTGTGATATACAGGGTTCAACAATATAAGTGTTGGTATTTAAACTGAAATCATTGACTTTATTGTCAATATGTTGGTATAAATTGTATTAATTATTTATAAAACTGTAGTTCAAGAAGATTTTTGTGAACCATTAAGGGTGATAAATAATACCCTTAGGTGTTTGGGAACTGCCATTGTTACTCGTGCTTAATAACATGTGGCTTTATCTTGTGGAAACCACAATTACTGTTGATGACACTTTTAGAAGAGGCAGCATTAACACTAAGTTCTCGACGGTCTGCTCATTGAGTAGTAACGATAGACCATTCGTTTGTGAAATAAAACTCAAGAGTAAAAGAACGATGTTGGACTGTACAGCTGTTCAACATTAAATTATAAATATTTAATCGTCATTCGAAAAATGAAAACAAAAACAGACAACGCTTTACACCAGTTATTTGGAATGTCTAACTATGAAAATCCTCTTACTTCATCTAGTCATTCAATAATGATTAAAGTATATGAATGGTAATTTAGTAAACTTTAGAGAATTGTTTCTTAAGATATATATCACATCATCTGTTGTTGCACGTCTACCTTGGCTAACAGTATATGCATAGCTGAATCATTTGGACTTTGTTGTAGTATCAGCCAGACTTTACTTCTTTTTTTATAACATGAATGTTCTTTAAAATGAATAATTTACACCTACCATCCTAAAAATTATACAGATTTGAGTGATTTTTGTTGAGTAACTATAAATTTTCCGTATCTATGGACCAAAGAAAAAAATAGGAAGAACTTTAATCAAAATTGGAGATTTTATATCTTGTATATTTCTTAATGCACTGCCTCGAAATTAGGTAGGTGAAGTAAGCATACTGTTACGACAGCGGAAGTCACGCGACCCTGGGAGCATGCGCGCTGGAGTTTCTAGAAGGATCGTGACTTGTCGGGCAACCTGACGAATGTCCCAGTGTTTGCTACACGCCCTCTTTTTTAGTATATAAACCGGAGATACACTGAAGAGAAATAATGGGGTCAACCGAACAGTAGGCACCGTAAGCAAAGTGTGGAATCGCTGT